GTTTATTTTTCCAATTTTTTCGTTCAACTAGAAATCGGTTCTAGAACGCATAAAGGACATAATTAATGGAAATTTTCACGAGGCCTAGTATACCTACACCACGGCCCCGAATGAAATCCGTTAGCGGTGGGGGAACCTATTCCGGGTATGGTTTTATTTATTTCAATTTTTTTCCTTTTTCTATGTTATATTTTGCTGCAGTTGCGGTATACTTGACTTCCTAGACCTGTGCTGGAGGACACAGACAAGGCCATGAAGAAGGCCTTCTTATTATGTCTCCCAAGTTTCTGAAGTTTAGCCGTCAATGCAGCCCCCCTGAAGTCCGAACCCGCTCATGAATCAACATCTAACCCCTGCCTTTTATTATGCCTCCCAGCCTCTCATGCCTCATATGCTCGTATTTCAATCAACTCCTATCCCTGCCCAAAATTCATCTGAAGGACATGATTCTAATAACTGTGATGTTAATGGTTATTTAAAAAATGATAATTTATAACTGTTGTATTTATTTGTGAGATGTATTTGATACAAACATTTATTATTTGTTGGATGTGATGAATATTATTTGACATTTTATTTTAATTTAATTAATCAATTCTGTTATTATGGTGTGAATATTAGATTCTTTTATTGTTAAATTTTACATAATTTCCGAATTAAAATTTTTATTTTTTTATTTTAAAAAATTTAGGCACGAACAGTTCCTTGACAAAGAGGCCAATATTTATTGTTTCGAAAAATAAATTTTCAAATTTTGAAAATTTGAAAAGGCACGGCATTATCCGTGCGTACAATTTTCAGTTGATTTTCCAATTATTTTAGTCGGGATGTTTTTTATTTCTAAATTTTCAAAATTTCAAAAATTTTTAAATTGTAGGCGGGGAATATTCCTTGACTAAATTTTACTTTAAATACTCCTTTTTGCGACGTGAAATGACGTTCCTTCGTCACGGCAAATAAGAACATCTTTTTCCCACGGAGAGTTTTTGTGCCTAGTTGTCACATGCGTTTCCATCCCTATGACGCGCCATGGTAAGAACACTCTTTTGGCACGGCGAGATCCGTGCCTATAAACTTTGACATTTTCCTTCAAACCGTGAGTTTTGAATGGTGTCGGCACGGGTCATTTCGTGCCTTTCTATGGCACAGATAAGAAATTTGTGTCATAAGTTTTGGAGCTTCAAAATTGGCGAGTTTTTTCATCCGTGCCACATTTCGTGCCTAATGTTATTGCCACGGAAAATTAAAATTAGCGTTCGTGCCAATAACGCGTTTTATTGATAGTGCATTGGCAACGATGCACAGGATGTAATGATTTACCCCGATGTCCTCTAATGCAAACATGTCACCATACACAGAGACGGCTCCAGTGTAGTCCCCCATCTTCACCATTGCATCCAAAAGTTGGCCAAATTTCATGATTGTTGGACGTGGATTTCTCCTGACCATATGAGCATACATCGCAATAGGTTGATCGACGTCTCTTAAATCCTTGAATTTAGTCAGACTATGGATCACGTATGCTTCATCAATAGAGCCAACAACAAAATGCCGGTGAAAATCAGAGAAATGAGGGTGATTCTGTTGTGAAAGCACTACATTTGCCCTCCATCATAGCGGTGAAATTTGATCCTCCGCTCTCTTACCAGCCGACCATGCAGCTCTGTTAGCCCTCAAAATGCTACTCCATCGAAACATGTTTCCTCGCAAAGGCTTTTGCACATGTGAATTTTGGAGTGCAATGGAAATTGCTCTCCAAATCGTCATTGATGGCATATGCGGAGTGAAGAAAGCGCGCGCGAGATAAATTGAGAGGGAGGAAAGGCGTGGGGCGAAGAAGGCGCCCGGGTTCTATTTTTTTATACAAATGCGCTCCACATTTTTGTACTCCTTCAATAGACATTTGTTACTCACTTGGACGTAATGATTTGGAGCCCGTTTTTTTGGATTGCAAACAAAATATATTTGGATGTTTGGATAAAACTAGAAAATACTAATCGCATCACCTTTCAGTTTTTGTAGCTATAAATTAAGATTTTATGCACGCCCCCCACTCTTAGCTTCGTTCATGCTAATTGCTTTGGTGTAATAATAGTGTGTTTTTGGATATTTGAGATGTGCTACCAAAGTCGTTTATTAATTAAACTGAATAATTTTCATTTGATTCCTATCCTTTTTGATCCATCCCTATTTCCATTGATTTCTTTTTAAACTCATGTTAAATGTAAATATTATACGAAAGTTAGTTCTATTTAATTTATTCAACCTCTGCAATGACGTGACATGTTTCATTTAATTCCTCTTGTGACTGCTCAAGTATGATAAATAATGTGGGGTCAAATAAGACCGGTTTTATTTTTTTCTAATGTTCGACAATGGGCTATGGATGCAAGTGTGAAGTTGCTGCCCTTACTCGGCCTCGATGATGAGCAATTTGGCCATATTCGGTCGCAAATTATGGCTACCGATCCTATGCCGGATATTGATCGTGCTTAGTCCTTGATTTCGCAGGAGGAACGACACCGGTCCAACGTTCGTTCCCGTGATGACCGCACTGAGTCAGTAGCTTTTGCTGCCCGGTCCGATCGTCATCCACCACAATGCGGCAAGTTTTTGTGTTCTCATTGCGGGCGTACTAGTCACACGGTGGATACATGTTTTGAACTTATTGGTTTCCCGGCGCATTACAACAAAGGTTTCGGTGGGCGTGGTACTTCGGTCGGCCAGCGTGGGGGTCGTAGCGGCCGTGGAGGAGGCCTTGCTGGAAACCATGGAGGCCGCGGTACAGCAAGCCCTCCAGGACCTGTCCCTGGCAGTGGGCAGCCGGTCACGCTATCTGCTTCGTCCGGCAGTGGTTCCAACGCTGCAGTACACGCCGTGTCCAGTAACGAGGGATCTTCCTTGAGTGGTCAGATGAGTCGGCTTATGTCTATGTTGGAGGCCTCGGCGTCACACGCTTATTCTGGTATTATTTCTACTTGTGATTGGATTATTGATAGCGGTGCTTCCCATCATATGACGGGAACCTTATCTCACATGGTCCATATTGAGGATGTGTTGTCTCACCCTATTTCTCTTCCCGATGCTCCCACATTCCGGCTACCAAAAAGGGGAGTGTCCGTGTGACACGTAAGTCCTATCGTGAGGCTGTCTAATTTGCCTCTTTGAGGGAAGTGATGGCGCAGGAATTCACCGTCGTGGAGCGGAATCATACCTGGGAGATCACTGTCCTTCCTCCTAATCGGCGGGCCCTTGGCTATCAGTGGGTGTACCGCACCAAGTACAGGCCTGATGGGACAAAGGAGTGGGACAAAGCGCGTTTGGTTGTCTTGGGGAATCACCAGGAGTTGGGGGTTGACTTTACTGATACGTTTGCCCCCGTGGCTAAATTGGCCACAGTCCGGGTGTTGTTTTCTGTCGCAGTGGCACGAGGATGGCAGGTTGACCAGTTAGATGTCAACAATGCGTTCTTACATGGGGATCTTCAGGATGAAATTTATATGAAGCTCCCTCCTGGGTACTCTCATTTATTTCCTGGAAAGGTTTTCCGTTTGCGCAAGTCTTTATACGGGTTACGTCAATCTCCCCGTAATTGGTTTGCCAAACTCCGTCTGGCACTACGTCGTTATGGTTTCCGACAGGCTCATGCTGATCATACTCTGTTTGTATTATGCCATGGCCCTGATATGTTTGTTGTTCTCGTTTATGTGGATGATATTCTTGTTGCAGGCAATAATTCCTCTTTGTGCTCTTCCTTTAAGAGGTATTTGGATGCGTGCTTTTAGCTCAAAGACCTTGGTCCCGTCTCTTACTTTCTGGGCATTGAGTGTGCTCGGTCCTCCACTGGTATGGTTCTCAATCAGCGCAAGTACACATTGGATATTCTTCAGGAGCACAATCTCTCTGGTTGTAAGCCTGCTGATACTCCATTGCCTAGTAATCATAATCTTGCTCGGTCCACTAGTGCTGAGCTTCGGGATGCCGCTAAATATCGTCGTCTTGTTGGTCGTTTGTTGTACTTGACCATTACTAGACCGGACATTTATTATGCTGTTCATGCTTTGTCTCAGTTTATGCAGGCTCCGCGACTGGACCATTGGAACGCTGCTCTCCGGGTTCTTCGCTATCTCAAAGGGCATCCAGGTCAGGGTATTCTACTCCGCCGTGACAGTGACTTGACCTTGACCGCTTATTTTGATTCGGATTGGGCGAGTTGTCCGATCACCCGCAGATCGGTCACCGGTTATTTTATTCTTCTTGGGGGATCTCCCGTTTCTTGGCGGACTAAGAAGCAAACTACGGTCTCCCGTTCATCCGCAGAAGCAGAATACCGTGCCATGGCAAATGCATGTGCCGAAATTAGGTGGCTTCGTGGGCTTCTAGTTGCGTTATCTGTTCCGTGTGTAGCTACACCTCGTTTTTATTGTAATAACAAATCTGCCCTCTTCATTGCAGCTAATCCGGTTTTTCACGAGCGCTCCAAACATATTGATATTGATTGCCATATAGTTCGTGAATGTTTACAACGCTCTCATGTCGTCACCGCCTACGTTCCTACACGATTACAGACAGCGGACATCTTCACGAAGGCACTCCCGGGTCCTCTTTTCCGTTCTCTTTTGTCCAAGTTGGGCATTTTTGATCTCTATGCTCCAACTTGAAGGAGGTGTTAGCGTACATATGTATATATTATTTTATGTGTATTATTCTGGAACACTTTGGGCCTATCTTGTTGGGCTTGTAACTTGTATAAATAATCTTCAGTATCAATGAAATAACCAAGTCATTCAATTCACCAAATTTTACAACAAGTTTATGTACTTTATAATGTGTATACACAAATAACAACTTTTTGCATTTGTATCAAAAAAAAAAAGTTTAGGTAATTTTCGTAACCAATAAAAAATTCTAGAGTTTTACTCGCAGAACCCCATCCGTCCAAGTGGAATTGCGTGTTCCGATTGCGTACGATGCCGCAACTCTTTAAGCGAACAGGGGCTGAACTGTCTTTTCAGCCTGATGTATAGCTCATTGCTTGGACACCTCACAGTTCAGACTCCGGAAGAAACGTGCACAAAAGATTCTTGGTACTCGTATTTAATTCTAGAGCCAAGAGAATTTCTAGAGAGAGAGAGAGAGTTTGTGGGGAGGAAACAAGCCTAACTTCATCCCAACAGGCAACACTTATGGTTCTTTATTCTTCTAATCCTACCAGATCCCAAAGGTCTCTCCCTCTGTTCCTATTTCTTTCCATTTTCAGATACTGCCCTATATTTCTATGTGTGTGAACAAGTAGATGTGCAGTTTCTCGGTTGTCTCTGTCTTGGAAAGATGAGATTTTGACTTCTTGGTCTAGAATAAAGACTGCACTTTTATAGGGTTTCTTTTGTTGTGCTGCTATTCCTGTGGGTTTTGGGTTGTATGCATGTTGGTTTGAGGTGATGGGTTGTCTTGTAAGTGATGATTCTTCAGATGAGTAAGAGATTAATGGGTAAATGTGCTGTCTTGTTTTGGAATTTTGATGATTTTGACTTGCTGCATGTAAGCAGCCTTTTGCTCTTATGAGTTTATCTGGGTAGAGGGTGTGGAGAGGAGGTTGACTTTGTGCTGACTCCTTGGAATGCTTCTGTTTGGGTTCCATTTCTACCATTTTGACACATTTTCCATCTATCCTCCAGGGGGGAGATATCGCTTTCGTGTTTGTAATTTCTTTATTCAATGAAAACACTCTTTACTACCTACAAAAAACCTCTGTTTTTGTATAAAACACAAAATTTTGGGGGTTTCCAAACTTTCATGATGTTATGCCTATTGTGCATGATTTTATGGTTTTTAATTATTCAATACTTGGATTTCACCACCCCACTGCTCATGTGAGCTGTTGACTTGCTTTGGGTATTCACTGTATTATCTGCCTACCCATGTATGCATGGCCATGTATGAATAAGGATTATGTTGACATTTGGGAATGTTGCATCTTCACTTGAGGTTATGTGTTATTTTGTTTCCTTCTTTGGACACCATTGAAACCCCATAATGTACTTGAGCTTACCAAGTTACCAATTCTGGTCTGGTTAGTCCCTTTTTGCCAAACCACGTACTAGTCTAAATTATACGGTAATAATTGTGTTTATGAACTTTTGAACTGTAAGTTGATTTTCTTTGAGGCTCACTGTTAACTGTAGTTTAGGATGCCAATCCCTCTAATGAAGAGAGCCCCATTGCTCCTCTAGATGTGGAATCTCAATTTAGCATTGAGTAGTTAGTTCCAAGGTTTGAAACATAAAACCTATAGATGTGGAGCATAAGAAGCCTTTGATACTTTGATAGTCCTTAGGGAAAGGGCTTGAAGGCTTGGATCCTGTCAAACTTGTTCAAGAAGTATTCATGAGAATTGTTTGAAAGTGACAACAGTTTCCTAATGAGATATTCTTTTTTTTTTGTGAAATGGTATCTTCTCTCCACGCTTTTGGGCTGCGTTGGTGATCCAGTCTTCCTAGTTGTGGCTGAAATTGTTTTAATTGATGTGATAATATTAATCAATCAATCAAAAACGAATGAATCATGTGAAGTGTGACGAAGTATTTTGACCCCAATTTCCTTGAATGTCAATTCTATTTTGTCCAAGAAAAGGGTAAGAGGGACTTTTTTGTTGTTTTTCTTACACATTTTTCGGGGGCAGGAAATGGAGCATCTAAGCCTGCAATTACAAGGTCACACCTCACCTTCAGCTCAGTCGTCACCATTTCAGTCCCAACAGAAAGAAGTTACTGCTGCACCAAAAATTACTTCTAAAGATCAGACATGCATTTCATCTGAATCTGGTATTCACTATGGAACAATGACTGATACCTCTTGTAGATCTTGTTTCATTTGCAACATTTCTTATTATTCAACTCCTTGGTTAATGTTATTTAATGCGACCATATCGTGATAGTTTGGTAAGTTTTCTTTATCCTCCGCAATTTGTCATCAACATCATTCATGCATCTTCACTCGTGTCCTTAAATGATGCTATTAACCCTTATTCTTTCGACTTGTTTCAAGAAGAAAGTCATGGGAAACATTTATCTGCTCAAATCAATCCCATGTTCCTTGTTGGCAATCCAGATCTTTCCTTGAACCCATCCCATGGCGAAATGAATCAATCTATGGTATGTAACCTCGAGGGTATGTGAGTCTGTTTAGAACCCGTCAAATACTAGGGAAAGAAAATAAAATACAAGACTAAATCTCAGTACGTTTATTTGAAATATTTGTAGATACCCGTGTAATTCCTTTTAAATGTTATTACAAATTCTAAATACTCCCCCCATCCCAAAAAACACTTCACACTTTCCCTTTTTGGACATCCCAAAAAACACTTCCCATGTACTTTATGTTTTCTTAAGTAATGAGCATGTGGCTCACATCATTTCTCTCTCATCTAAACAAATTTCAACCATAGACTTTTCACTTTTCAACAATTTTCTTTACTCACTATGGAAATCAAACCAATCATCCTCGAGGGAGTATATGTTAAAATTTTAAAAACATATTCATACTTTTAGTTGAAATAGTATATGTTAAACTGATCTTTCTATTTCTTAATTCAGATTCACTCTCCTTACAATTACTCAGATCCATACTACAGTGGGTTATTTGCTGCTTATGGACCTCAGCCATTTGTGAGTAGTGTGTGTTTCTTTTTCCATGTTTTGCATTGTTGTTTTGCTAACGAGTTTCTAAGATTTTCATTACTATGTTTCCATATTATTACTTTAAGTCTTTTCATTGCCACTATGCCTTTTTAGTATGGATTGATAGTGTTACGTGATTTTTCACAATTAATTAGCACTGTACATTTAGTGCGATCGACCCAACTAAGCTAGTTGAGAGTATTAAGGTGCTGATGATGACTAGAATCCATTTTTGTCAGGCGATAGCTTCAATTCTTTTATTTTAACACATTCTAGAGTATGCTTCATTTGCATTTATGCCAAAAAGGTTTCAAGTTCAGTTGCTCAGGTTTTAATGAATAAAGAGAAGAAAGACCCAAGGGTCTATTTGGAAGATTGGATATACTAGGGTCTAGGTAAAGAAAATTGGTAGCAGTGGGGTTGGGGGGGGTATATAGAGAAAAGACTGAAAAGTAAAATGAAGATAATATTCTTTTATCGAACAAGAAAAATAGGAACACTNGGTGGTGGAATGAAATTATAGTACATTAGATGGTTAGACTCAGAAATCTAAATGCATATAAAAATTCACAACAAACCCTGTAAAATCCTAAAAAGTAGGGTCCGGGAAGGGTGGGTGTACGTAGACTTTTCCCCTAGCCGAAAGTAGAGAGAAGGTGTTTCACATGATGTAAAAAAATTAAGGTTCTAATAGAAGTTAGATTTCCCTTCATATTTTCATAGGTAAAACCAGATTTGAAAACTATTTACTCCTTGGCATTTTTTCCTTTCTCTACCAATTTCCAAACTCCAAACATAGCTTAAAGGATGATGGATATTATATTTGATCATGTATATATACAATAAACTTCAGCCTCAAATGTTCGGCATTACGTCGACTCGGGTGCCATTAGATCTTGCAGATGATGGGCCTATTTATGTCAATGCAAAACAGTACCATGGAATACTAAGGAGGAGACAAATACGCGCAAAACTTGAGGCACAAAATAAGCTTGTGAAAAATAGAAGGGTTAGTACTCTTACTATATGCCATGTTTTCTTAATTCTAATGATTATAAATCTTTGATGCCATGTTTTTAAGACTTGCAAACTTCATCTATAAAGGCTGATTATTTCGCATCGAAGACTATGGAGGCAAAAACATGACCATGATTTCAAAATAGAGTACAGAAGTAACAGAACGTGTTTTCGATTTGAAAATGCTTTAGTTTCAAAATAGCACAAAGTATTTGTTCAATAGAACTATACTTGAAAGTGGAAAATAAATACCATTCATCCAAAAACAACTCCTTTTTTTAAAAACTGATTCCCCTCCAAAAAATGGTCCTTTTGAAAAAAAAGAGAGACTTCCATTACATTTGATGTACATACAACAACAACAAACAACAACAAAGCCTTAAAATGTACTCCCTCCGTTTCAAAGAATCTACTACCTCCGTTCCAAAGAAAAACTTTCAATGGTTTGACTTTCAAGGAGTTTAAGAAAAATGTATGGTTAGAAATCATTTGGATGAGAGAAAAATGTTGTTAGCCACATGTTTATTACTAAAAAAGTAAATAAGGTGAGAAGTGTTTTTTTGGGATGTCCAAAACTGAATAGTAAAAGTTTTTTTTGGGACGGAGGGTGTACAATGTATGCAAAGTTTAGTTAAGCTAACAAAAAAATTGAAAATTTTGCTAAAATTGATAATTTCCAACCTTCAGTCAAACAAGACTTTTTCGGGACGGAGGTTATATGTAGCATGTATTGTGTACAAAATGATTAGAAGGAAAAAAGTGGGTTTTTAGATGTTATTTCAAATTTTTGACCCATAATTAACAAAACACCAAACTCTAAAATCAATAATATGCAATTTGCAGATTCTTGATTTTAGCATATTGAACTTTATCCAAAGGTCTCATCAACCATTTTACTAACATTTTGTGTCTAAAATGCTATCATCTCTGTGTGTGCGTGTCTGTGCTGATTCACAACAAGTGGCTGATCATTATTTGTTTCAAATTTCAATCAAGAGCAGCCATACCTGCATGAGTCTCGCCATCTTCATGCAGTAAAGAGGGTTAGGGGCTCGGGTGGGCGATTCCTTAGCACAAAGAACCTGCAAGATTCTCTCTCCACAAACTGCATTTCTGCCACCGGTTCTCTTCAGCACATCGCTACTTCAAGTGCCGGGCCCCACAGCATGATACCCCATGGCAGCGGTCTTCATGCAAACGTTGTCCTCTTCCAGCAGCAGCAGCGTGGGAAACAGTATTATTCTCCTGTCGTTCGGTGATTTTGAGGATTGACTACCAGAAGGGCAAACTTGTCATTTGATCTCCCGGCATTTCATCCTTGGCTATTGTAACTTTCGGTTCGCGGTCTGTCGTTCCTTACCATGTGATAAACTAACTGCATGCCATTAGAAACTTATGGTGTTTTTTTATATAAAATGATTTAATGCATCTAAGAAAATTATCAGTTTGTTAGTTTGTCATGTACTAACTTTTTAAGGTCTATGCTGTACACTGATGGGAAGTAGTAGTAAGTAGTAACTAAAGTTACCTTTAGGGGCTGTTTGGCAACTTCTGAATAGGTAAGTGCTGAACCAGTAAGAGGTCTGAACCATTAAGTGCTGAACCAGTAAGAGGTCTGAACCATTAAGAGCTAGTATATTGCTTAACTATTCAGAGGCAAATGTCTGATCAATTCAGATTAGAGGTCTTAACCATTCAGACTCTGTATAATACTTAACCATTCAGAGACAAATCTCTTAACCATTCAGACATCTGAACCATTAAGAGGCTGAAACAAACAGTCTGAACCATTAAGTGCTGAACCATTCAGACATCTGAACCATTAAGAGGCTGAAACAAACAGCTCCTTATTCTGCTTGTGGCATATGATAAAGGAGCTTATTTTAGAATTTTGATGTTTCATAGTATGAAGTTAAAATTTTTGTTTGATGAATTCTTTGGACCAGAGGGTATCAGGTCAGGCCCAAAGAAAAGGGCCCGAAAGGCTAAGATTGTAGGCTTAGTGTGACGGCTTTTGAGAGTTGGACCCGGCCCAATGCCTGTCCATGTGACTGAGGTTGGCCATACCAGCCCGAAGGTAGGAGGGGGGATTCGGCCTGCTTTGATGTGGGCACAAAAGGTCGGTCAGGGCCTTCAAGGGCATTAGTTAGTTGTAAAGGCTATTTTGAAATATTCTCTTGAGTGAGCTATTTAGGTCCTTCAATGGAAACATTTAAAAGTCCTCTTCTCGAAGCACTACAATTTGTCCCATAGACATTGTTCCATGAGGCAAATGTTATATGGGGAATATAATACTAAAACATGATGATTTCTCAATGTAGTACCATATATTTAGGATATTTTAATTTTTCAATGTAGTACCACTGGACATTATTCTAGTAATTGTCCACCATCACTGGACATTGTTCAAAGTAAATGTTCACCACTATTGGATATTATTTTTGTCATTGGACATTATACAAGAACTATTTATGGAAAAAAAGTTTTTGGTAGTACATTTAAAAAAGATATACATGTTTTAATATTGTCTCTCTCTCCACATCCATTCCCTGCTCTTCCTCCTTAAGCTTGCTAGTTTGTAATTGTAGCTCATCTTTTTTCTTTTTTTCTTGAAGTGTTATTAATAGCTTACAGAATTATTTCATGTATATGTGTAAACACTTTGCAAATATATATTTCTCCGTCTCGAGATTATCTTCCAGATTTGACTTAGCATAATTTTTTATAAAGTGCAATGTGTGTAGTTGTGGTTTGTATAGAAGAAAGAAAATTGATATGAATCACATATTTATTTCCTTAAAAGAAAAGTGGAATTTTTTTGGGATAACCCAAATATGCAGGAAAAAAGATAATTATGAGACGGATGAAGTAATAATAAAACACCCGTGTAGTATAATTCTATCTTAAAATGCCCGTATCTTTTACCAGTTTGGTTTCCACATATAACACTCTCACACACAAACATATACCACTCGTCTAAATATTTTCTTCTTGATCTGAAAAATTGTACGCAGATTTGAGCAGCACGAAGGAACAAGAACACACAACGACATCGTAGAACAACGATGGCGACAAGATTTCGAAAAAGATTTCGGTAGAGTAACACTAAGGATGCAAAGTGAAAGAAAAGATGGATGAGGGGAAGTTTGGTTGACTAGGAAGCCTAATCCTGAAACTCGATGTATACTTTTTTATGGTTGTCAATGTTATTCACTCATATTCAAGTGCTTATTCGATAACGATGATGTTTCTTTATGTTGGTTTTTTTATTTATTGTTAATAAATAATTCTTAACTTAAAAATTTTATTATCTAAGTATTTTTTGGAAAGTGCTTTTAAACAAAAAAAAAACAAAATTCATGTAAAAAAAATATTTTGTGATATTTGTTCCACAATAATTCGAACTTTAGTAGTGAGAAGGGTGAGTGGGCTCGAATGTTTCATTTGCTTCTTACAGCAGGTTCGAAGTTCGATCACCTGAAGCAAGGGAGAGAGAAAGACGGAATAGTCAGGTAGAATCACCGGACCTCGAGATTCGAAGCCTGCGATGGTGTCGTACATGAGCTTGTTTCTATACGGAGTGGGAGGAGTAGTGGTGGCCGGAATGGCGCTTCTGGTGGCGCTCCAGGAGAAGCTCGTGTACGTGCCGGTTTTGCCTGGACTCACCAAGTCCTATCCGAACACTCCCGCTCGTCTTAGTCTTTTCTACAAAGACGTCTGGCTCAGATCTTCGGATGGAGTGCGTCTCCATGCCTGGTTCATCAAGCTCTTCCCAGAATGCAAAGGTCCGCACATTTACTTGTTTATGCTCTTTTAAGTTTTACCTGCTTCTGAGCCCAGGTGGGCTGTGAAACTTGGTGAAATAGGGATCTGTCATGCTCCGGCTTAGACGAGATTTGAGAAATTGAAGTAGATACTGGACTTTGAATGTCAAATTGACCTAATACTAATCTGGCGACGCGACAGAATGTTGATTTGAGTTTTTTGATTGGATCGTGCTGAACTCTTCTTATGCTTTACTATTAATACGGAGTAGCTTGTTCGCAAATTCAGAATAAGAAAGTAATTTCTTGCAGATTCCATTTTATTCCTTGATGGTGCAGTGGAAACTTAGGTTTATGTTCTTATGCTTTTTGAAGAGCTTTAGTATCCTAGGCGTAATAAAATACTCGTAGTACTTAATTATAGGCTGGTTGATTGCAGAGAGTTTGAGAAATGATTCTAAATAGTTGAAATTAGCACCTGAAATGGGAAAATCTTTTTGTTGCCTCCATTTATGATACCCACTGTGGTAAGATGCTACCAGATACCAACTAATAAAATACTTTAGGTTGCTAGTAGGTGAATTCAGTTTCTTACATTTCTCTGCAGCTGGGTTGAAAATGTTATAGACCACTCCTCTGTGTGGGAATGTGGGTTAATGGATGTCAAGACACTGTGGTGTAATGGTGAGACTACTGAGAGTGAGACATTTCTTCTTGCAGGAGATCAAGAGTTTGCTTCCTGGTAGAAGTAAACTGTGCACACCTACACACGCACCATTTGTTGCTTTCTTTTTATTAATCCCACTTTCAGAGAGTAGCATCTGGAAGTCTAGGATTAGGATGGTAGGGCAGGCTTTTGGGTAGTGTTACACCATTATGTAGGGCTTCTTTCCTTAGTTTGTTGTAGCCGCATGTTTGCTTACATCTTTCGTGCTCTTCCCCTTTGTCATTCTTTTTTTTTTCTTTAGCTGTTTTGTTGTGTTTCTTATGTTTTGAGCCTGTAGTCTGTTGGAAACAACGTAACCTCTCTACTTCCATGTAGGGTAAGGTCTGCGTATATTCACCCTCCTCAGACCCCACTTTGTAACATTTTACTGAGTTTGTTTTTGTAATCCACTTTAAGATAGTGAATGAGTTGTTTCTTGTTTGTTGTCTAAGTTTTCTTATCAAGGTTGCTTGCGGCTTACTTTTGTATTGCAGGCCCAACCATTCTTTTTTTCCAGGAAAATGCTGGAAGTATCCTTTGATTCTTCAGCTTCATTTTCATTGTCACCTATGTTTTTTTCATAATTCTTGTTAATTTTTTAAGTACTTGGTTTAGCCTTAACTATATAACTTCAGACATAGCCCATCGTCTTGAAATGGTGAACAAAATGATACAAGAATTGAAGTGCAATGTGTTTATGCTTTCATACCGAGGGTATGCTAATTATTGACTTCATTCACTATTGTTTGTCTAAGTACCTTCTTTTTGCATTATACTTTTATGACTTTACCGTTGTGTCTTCTCGTACACAGGTACGGGGCCAGTGATGGATACCCTTCTCAACATGGAATAATAGCGGATGCTCAGGTTTAGTATCCCCCCCCCTCCCCAGGACTGAACATTGTCTTAGCCTATGTCACAGTATGTCATCCTGTTTGAATTCTTATGTATTTGGGGGGTGTCTTTCATATAGGCAGCATTAGATCATCTGATTCAGAGGAAAGATATTGATAAATCCAGAATATTTGTCTTTGGAAGGTCACTGGGTGGAGCAGTGGGAGCTGCGCTAACCAAAAATAATCCTACTAAGGTAAATGATTGCTTATTATTATAGTTATATTTATACAAAAAAGTGACCCCATCCACCCCCTCCCAAAGAAAAAAAGACTTACTCAATCTGCTTTTTTTCCTGCATACATCTATCTATTCATTTTTTTTTAAAATGAAGCTTAGGTTCCCCTTTGGATTTTGTAGAGGCATCTTGATATGATTTGAATGACACTAGCATCTTCACTATGCGTTTCACAGAGCAGTTTCTCTAAATACTTTAAATTCTTCTAAATTACTCCTTTCGTCTGGGTTTAGTTGTCCACTTTCTTGTTTGCATTTGTTTGGAATTAGTTGTCCAATTTCCGTATTCAATCAAAAAAAATTATGAATTGTGTAAAATATCCTTGAGAAATGGTATAGGTACTGTTGATATGAATGAGTGGCAAAGTCATTTGTAGGACATATTTGACCTTTTAAACTCATTTTTGAAATTTGAGATTTTGTAAACAGTGGACAACTAAATCTGAAAGGAGGAGGTATAAAAAGATTTAACCATTGTATAGCACCTGATTTTTTTTAATTTAACTTTTAACTTGCATTTTAAAATCTGGATACATTATCCAGGACTACAATTTGTTAAAAACTTGTCTACACACGACTTTAACGTGGAACTTCTTGGTCTTCGTCTACAGTCGTCATCTCGTATCATAATTACCTAAAGATAAGAAATTATATGAAAAGTAAATCATAAAATAATTTGCATGACATTCAGAAACTATTATCTTAGGTATCTAAATTATTTGTGATGGCCTACTTTTGTTGTAGGTACTCCAATTACTTCGGAGTACATAATTATCTATCTAAAATAAGAAATTATATGGGATTTAAATCACAAAATATTTTTTAAAAATTGTTTGCATGGGTGAGGAGAAATGAAAGGACGAGGGGATGTGTATGAAAGGATATACAATGGGAGCTTTTGGAGGGAAAAGTGAAACTTTTTCTCCTTTTTAAGTACTACGTATTATACAAGGATTCAACATATCTGTCTTATAGTTCAATAAACTGATGTAAATTCATGTTTGATCTACAATCATGTGGGGGGTACCATTTAATTACAGGTTTGTGCACTTATTTTGGAGAATACTTTCACTTCCATCCTTGACATGGCTGGAGTTCTCCTTCCCTTCTTGAAGTGGTTTATTGGAGGGAGCGGTTCAAAGGGCCTCAAACTTCTTAATTTTCTTGTTAGGTCTCCATGGAATACCATTGATCTTGTAGGCGAGGTGAGGAATTCGAGTTGTCCTTATTTTTAACTATCTATGATTAATAACATGAAAAAATCATTTATGTTTTGAATGGTTTTGCATGGGAAAAAATAAAATTTAGGAGGATCTGCTTGGTAATCGTTATTTTTATAGGTAAGGTAGTCATGGATGAAGTTTTCAATCTCATTTATTGTGAAACTAAAGAAATAGTTCTACATAATTCGTATAAAACCACACTTGTAAGTTTTCAGTGTGTTCCTTTCTGCCTACACAACACAACTTGACGCTTCTATTCGCAGATCAGACAACCTATCCTTTTTCTGTCTGGATCACAAGATGAAATGGTCCCTCCTTCACACATGTTGATGCTATATGCTAAGGCGGCTGCTCACAATAAACAATGCATATTTGAAGAATTTCCTACTGGAATGCATATGGATACATGGTTGAAAGGTGGTGACCAATATTGGAAGACGATTCGGCAGTTTTTGCAGCAACCTGTCCCCACAGAGTCAAAACCAAAGGAGAAATCTTCCGAAGAAGGATCTAGTAAGTCAAGATGTTTATCTTCCCAATCATATATGATTATGCAAGCCTATATTCTCTTAATGGCAGATCCTTTTGAGGGGGGGGGGTGTGCTATGATTTGGATGCTATGTATATACAATTACTATGATGCACCTTGTTCTCACATTTCAATTTGTTGTTCTGTTATTGAACTGAACATAAAGTTGGTTGACATTCTCATTGAAAAGTGCTGAGCTCAACTGTAGCATGGCCATAAGTATTAGTCCTATTATTACAAAATAGTCATAGTTTCGTATTAGTAGTGTTATTCTATTTCAGTTAATAATCCTAAATAAGGATTCATGTTTCCTAGTATGGTAATGGCAGGTTTCTTGTAAGGTTTTGCCTATCTATCCTTGCAGTATCATTTTTAAAAAATTATCAATGGGTGAAGTCAAAAACTCTAATTATGAGAAGCAAGTCACGGACCACTCTCCCCTCCTTCCCACCGCGGGAAGGATCAATATCCTCTTCTTATTTTACATTTGTTCCTACGTTTGTAACACCACACTTTGTCCTTCACTTGTAACAGCTCTTTGAAAGGTAGGAAGTGCATTTTGTGTTCCGTTTTCTATAGTGCACCATACTCTCATGTTATTTTGGTAACCTGTAAAATATTAGTAACCCAAGTGCATATATGCACGACTAGGGCGGGCATACCCAAACAAAAAACGCATGGCCAATATAATTCACAAACCTGCCTTAGCCTAACAACCAAAACCCTGCACTAACATCTATATCAAAAGTCTACCATACAAGAAGGATACATCTTGAATGAAATTTGGTATACAAGAAATATAAGTTTAGAAAAAATGCCAGACATCAACAAGAGTGTCATCAAAGCAGGTTGTGTTCCTTGTTTTCCAAATGAAGTAGACAGTTGCTGCAAACACCAAGCGTGCCACCTTCCTTCTGGCCAGTGAGCCATGATCCCTCTTACGGTGTTCTGTTCTTCCCAAAGTAGATACTTGACTAAGAATGCCAAGCCTACTTCTAATAGCATGCCAAATATGAACTGTTATGGAACACCCCGAAGAAGTGGTGCTCCATCTCTTCATTCCCATCAACACGCAAACTACACTGCCTCGGTATATCCATGAAGGCTCAATTAACCTGCGTTGGTAGCCTACCACGATCAGCCAACCATAAGGTAAAGGAGAACTTTGGGGGGATGTATGGTTGCCAAATGAGGGACATCCATGAATCATAGACTAAGCTAGCATTCATCTCCCCATCATGGCAAAGAGAGGGCAATGCCACATCCAGCACACCTCTCTCACATTTCAGCTTATACTATTTAGTCTTGATGAATGAAGCATGAAGGTGAATATGTCAAGAATGCTGTTGTATGTATATATTGATAGAGACAAAATTCTTACAAATCAAAACTTACGGAGTATATAATACATCTTTTGTAAAATCTTATGTTTATCCACATGAGATGATCTGTTCAGGAATTGTTTTCTTTGCTTTCATAACTTCATGTGGAACAATATCTCTTAAAATCCTCCCTGTGATCTTATTTGCAGCTTCATCCTAATCTGAAGAAAGCCGGAGCATCAAAACAAGCCATTGCAATTATTGGATTCATGACCCAATGCTTTGATATTAATCCATGATCGGTAACCAGAAGTTCCCATTGGTAGGATCATCGCTTTTTTCATCATTATTTTCTTCTGGATGCGTGTTTTCAGAAGACGGGGAAGGTCTATGGATGTTCTTACTGAGTAATGTAATATAGACTAACCATCTTCTGATCTTTGAGCCAGAGATCTCACAAGTGTCGAAAAAAGATTATACTGTTTTTTTACCCTTCCTAACTGTCATAGATTTTGCAGTTCATTATTTACATAGAGCTTCAAAATCTTCAGCAAAATGTTATATTGACTGAAATGCTTTCTTTTGACATCAGTTTTCCTATGTTTTCATTACTTTGTTTTGACTAAATGCCTTCCTCTTGCCATATAGGAGTCATATATCTGAGGGTCATGCTACACTTGGCCAGCAATTTCAACCAAACTAGAGCTGGTTTGGTATGGATTAGAGTCTGTTTAGCTTTTAAAATAAGGGAAATGCTAAAGTCACCCCACCTTTAATTGCCCAACCTTCTCAGACATCCACAAATGAGTCTCTGTAGATTTCTGTGAAAAGGTAGAGTTGAAGGGTAGGGGTGCCCTTAACATATGGTCCTCTAAATAATGCTTAATTTTCAAGAGTGCTTATTCCATAAGCAATACTCCTGTTTGTTTTTTGTCATCCCTCTCATTTGCTAAACACCTCTGTTCGCAATTAAGCAACATATGCATC